ATGTTAATAGTGTTAAAATAAATATTAATTTTTATAAGTTTTTATAATTTATTATAAAAAATTATATTTTTACACTTTAATTTATATATTTAAAATATAAATTAAACAAAATTTATATTAATTTTAATATAAAAATTAACAATATTGTTCTTAAAAACTTGATATTTGATAAAATTATAAAAAGATAGATTCCTTAAATGAAATTTTCCTTCAATAAAATTTTAAAGAATAAGATATCAATTACAAAGGTGATGCTCTAGTGATAAAAGTTATTCAAATCATGTGTTCGAACCTTAGAGACGCCAAATTTAAGCTTTGAAGTTTCAACCAATAGTAGAAGAAGACAAAAAAAAAACAAACAAAAAGAGGAAGTTGTAGCTCTCCAGCGTGGAGAATTCGCCCAGTAGGTTTACCAGGCTAGAGGGGTTAGGTGGTTTTTTCGAATTTGACGGTTTTTCTGGATTTGGACGATTGAATCGTCAAAACGGACCTCGGTGTCCACCTTTCCCTCATTTAATTGAACTTTTGATGTATGCTTACAACATTACAAAAGATGATTTGATGTTCACTTTTTCTTTATTGGCGAGAACTTATCTGTTGTTTAGAAAAAGGATCCCTCATATCACATCCAATCTTAGGTGTCCACCTTTCCCTCATGTCATGGAACTTTTGATGTATACTTACAACATCACAAAACATGATTTGATGTTCACTTTTCCTTTATTAACGGAAACTTGTCTGTTGTTTGGAAAAACGATCCCTCATATCACATCCAATTTTTACAAAAGGATAGTTTTCCTTTTCACATCAAACATAGACATTTTATTTTTAATCATCCCACGCAAATTTTTTTTTTATTTTTTTATAAAAAAATATTAAATTAATAAATTAATATTTATTTAAAATCAAAATTAAATTAAAAATTAAATAAATTTCACCTGTTACCGGTAAAGTAACGTGATGGTTAACTGAGCCATACAACGGGAGTTCATCGTTTTTATTAAAAGAGCTTCCTTAAGTCCGTACATTATTTTAGGAACGTAGTTCCGAAAATAAGAAAAATATAGATAAAAGGTCATACCTACTGTACGAGTGTTAAAAATGATCTCATACCAGGTAAATCCCTTTTACCTACAATCAAGCACTCTATTATCATGCCGACGTGAAAATGATCAATATTGCGCCAGTAGTATATATAAGATGAAGTAATATGTATGCAAGTGTTTTGGACTATTATTGCCTAGCCTCTCCTAGGCCATTGTAGGAGATGTGAACCAGACATTTCTTTTAATTAGAACAGCCCTTATAGCCAACAAAAAGATGTAAGCTTAATTATTTCCTCAATCCTTCCAAAATTGCTGCTGTTTTGATGCCCCACCACTCAAAAGCAAGCTGTCCGCACCTTCCAAGCATGATCATTGATGACAGGAGGAAGGGAGGTCGATGATTTGTATATTCGATTTGATCGATCCCACAAGAATTGCATTGAGATTGTGTGGCAGTAATTCCATTAACCCCTCTATGTTACATTCTAGTCCTTAAACTATAGTAAAAGCATTCAATTAAATCATTAGCAGTCCCTTATATGTTAGTAATATATATCAAATATTTTAACTCATGTTAAAATTTAAATTTTTATTAAGATAATTGTAATATTTTTCCTTTCTTTAAAATTTTCTCTTATTCAAAAAAAAAAAAAAAAACATTTGTTTAAAAATATTGATTGTTATATACTCCAATTACATAATACACATTAAAAGTGCGGCCCTGTGCAGAAGATATATTCCTCCTTTTCAGAAAGACGACCAAGACCATAAGGATAAAACCAAGTCGATATCAATCAGGTATTGAAATTTAACCAGAAAAAACTTAGTTTTTTAAAATGGAGTTGGTG